ATATATATATATATATTTCTGAAATCCAAATTTTTTGCATGGACTTTCACGTTATCTTTTAAATTCAACCTCTATCAGACTGCAGTGTGAACTCTCCTTTGCAATGATTCAACCCACGTGCGGAGAAATGATGATGTCACATTCAACTCGCTGTCTACAGAAGTAATTACCGTATGTGTGCTACTTGTTAGCATGTCCATTCAAGCAAGTTGTTGTGCAATCAGAGTCAATTAAATAATTATCTGAGATATTTTAGTTCGTTGTTTACATTTGAACCTGCCTCTTGCCGGCTGCTCCAGAGCATCATGTGTAGTACTGTTACGGTCTGACACCAACGTTACGATCATATATTTCTGTGGATTAGCAGTCATCCAGGACTTGGAAAAAAGAAAAATGAAGAAGCAGCTGGACTTCTGATGTGTAGCTGAAGACGTGTGGAGTTAGTATCAATATTGTTACTTGGATCAATCTGTATACCCCCACTTCACTGAAGTAAAAGTCAGATGATCTTTCAGACTGATGTCGCTTTGAAAAACAGCAAATATGTATCAGATTAATATCCCATACTGAAAAGGTCTGGGTTGGATTAGAAAATATCAGAAACGGCTCACATTTGTCTGCAGTGTGAACGTACCCTTATTCTGTTTGAATCTAAAGATCATTTATCATAATTTTGTTCAGCACGGCTCCTGAACCTCTTCAAATTTTTCACTCAAACATTTAAAATAAGTTAGCAGTAGGACAAAACTAATGAAAACATTGAAGATAAACAACATATGAAATCAGTAAATAATGGTCGACTACAAAAATAAATCTGATGGCAGACAGAACAGACGATACAATCTCAAAGAAGCTGAAAAGCTATAAATCCTGTTCTTTTATAATATTCTGTCAACAAATGTTTCATTGGCACATTCACAACAAATAGACAGTATTTATGCAGATAAGATTTATACTTCTAACCTTTTTTAAGTAAAATGTTCATTCCAGCAAGAGAATCATGACAAATGAAGCTACACTAAGAGCACAGGCACTTGTTCTCTTCAAAATGCAAAGAAGCAGTTGCTGCCAATAAAAAGAGAGGTAAAAGAATGTCACCACACAAACATGGCTTCTTTTTTTTTTCTCCGTCTTGCTTTCTGCGATCATGCACACAGAATTTGAGCAAGACCTTTGAGGGAGGCCTCTAAACGAGGGCACGGATGTTACTCAGCTCATGACTCACAGGATGAGGAGTGAAAAACAGAATGTTGGGGAAAAAAGAAAAAGAGTGTGGACGAAGTGACAGCCTCTGCTGCGACACTCCTCCAGGACTCAGCAGGTGCCGGTGGAGCTGACAGTGGTGTAGCTGAACTTGGACATGGAGGTCACCATCGACGTGGCCATGGAAGCGGCGTTGATGCCGTCTTCGCCCTCCCTCCTCCTGCACCACCGGCAGCGGCGGCACAGGCGGTTGCGGCAGCAGCAGGCGAAGGTGGCCAGCAGGGCCTTGCGGAAACGAGTGTTCATGAAGCAGTAGATGATGGGGTTGACGCAGGCCGACGTGTAGGACAGCAGGTGGATGAAGGAGATGGGGGCTCCGGAGAGGGCCTTGGAGGCAGACAGGGGGTCAAAGGCCTTCCAGGTGTTGACTGAGTACAAGGGCATCCAGCAGATGAAGAAGAGGGCTACGATCACCATCAGCATGTGAATGACTCGCCTCTTGGCTTGAAGCTTAGCTTCAGAGGTGTTACTACGAGCGCGCTCAGTCTTCAGCTGGACGGTGCTGGATGAGGCAGAGAGGGTGGGAAGCTCCACAGAGGAGGAGGGCTTTTTGGACACCTGGATGTAGCAGCCGTCGTCGTCATCATTTGAACCCACCACAGCCCTCCCTACGCCATTCCTTTGGCCTGAGAGAAAACAAAGTCAAATTTGAATCTTAAGCAAGTTTTATTGAAACATTCATTAGTTTAATTGAATTGAACAAAACTGTCAGTGCCTTCGACTGTCAGTGTGTTTCAGTAATGATTTGCTCTACTTTAGGCTTTTAGAGATTGTAACAGACTTTTTATGTTTGTGATAATTTTGATCTATGCTACAGAACCAACAATCTCTGTAGCACCAGTTCTATAAGCTCAAATAGTTAACAAACAGCCCTTCATAGCAAAGCATATAAACAACATCAGTGTTGTTTTCTCTCTGTAGTCAGAGGAAAACCTCTTTTTTTCTTCTTAACCATCCACAATGTTTGCATCAGATGTCATGTGTTATGTATGACAATGTTAATAATACYGTCTAAACATATTTCAGATTCAGATTGCTTTATTTGTCATTGTTCCATTAAGCACAATGAAATACAGTTCAGAACAACCCATTTAAGAGAGAGACARATACCAACAAACAAMCATGGGAGAACAGGTCTTGCAGCCATAAAGAGGCRCTAACCTTCATAAAAAGTAAAATATAACTTTAAAATATTCTGTTCAACCACTGGGGTCATGACCTCGGCCCCGAGAGCAAAACAGTTGCTCTCAAAATTTTCATTACTTTGGATAAATGGATACAAAATACAGTTAGTTTGTTCAGTATGTGTTTTAATTCATYAAATTTTTTTTTATTTTTGTTTTGGGCAGGTAACCTTAGGTGTCACTTTCCAAATGGGGCAATTTAAAAAAAAAGTTGAACCCTGCACCTGCCCATAAAAACTGCATCTCACCCAGAGATGTCTATAAAAAATGGGTACGTGCCCTGAGGGCGTCGATACACAGAAGTGAGGCRTCACAAAACTGAAATAGGTTGTTGCAAAATCAAAGATGGCAACAGAACGAAGACTTCTAGCTAAAAGCCTGACGACGTGAAGATGAGCTTCACTGTGACTGTGTTCACTGTGTTTCTGACAGTTTGTCTGTTGTGCAAACCGACTATTGCAGCAGCTATCTGGGAAGCTGATCTCAGACCATCCTGGAGGTGAAGATGCTGGAWGTGGTGGTCCTGGTTTAGTGTGGTTATGCTTGTATTGCGGTTGTTATGCTGGTTAGATGTACGGCCAAATGCTCTGAAACACCTTTGAAGATGTGTTATGGTAAAGAAATGAACATTCAGTTCATGGGCAACACCTCTGGTAGACGTACTTGCAGTCAGCATGCCGATTGTGCTGGCTTGTTATTGTGGCCAGTCTAAGGCACACCTGTGCAAGAGTC